GATTTTTAGATTCACTTGTTGATAGATGTGTATTTGTTGTTCATAATTTGTATCTTTACCTTTTTCTTCTTCTTCCTCTTCTTAAAGGATACCTTTCAGCATTTCATATAATACTGGTTTGGTGGTGATGAACTCCTTTAGCTTTTCCTTATCTGTGAAGCTCTTTATCTGACCTTCAATTCTGAATGATAGCTTTGCTGGATAAAGTAATCTTGGTTGTAGGTTCTTGCTATTCATCACTTTGAATATTTCTTGCCACTCCCTTCTGGCCTGCAAAGTTTCTGTTGAGAAATCAGCTGACAGTCGTATGGGTACTCCCTTATAGGTAACTGACTTTTTTTCTCTTGCTGCTTTTAAGATTCTCTCTTTGTCTTTTGCTCTTGGCATTTTAATTATGATGTGTCTTGGTGTGGTCCTCTTTGGATTCCTTTTGTTTGGGGTTCTCTGCGCTTCCTGGACTTGTAAGTCTATTTCTTTCACCAGGTAGGGGAAGTTTTCTGTCATTATTTCTTCAAATAGGTTTTCAATATCTTGCTCTCTCTCATCTTCTGGTACCCCTATAATTCTGATGTTGGTACGTTTGAAGCTGTCCCAGAGGCTCCTTACACTATCTTCGTATTTTTGGGTTCTTTTTTCATTTTGCTTTTCCGGTTGGGTGTTTCTCGCTTCTTCGCATTTCGAATCTTTGACTTGATTCTTGCGCTCCTCTGGTCTGCTGTTGGGAGTCTGTATAATATTCTTTATTTCAGTCAGTGTATGCTTACTTTCTAGATGGTCCTTTATCACACCATCGAGGGTCTCATTAGATTTCCTGTACATCTCATCAAGTTTATCGACAGACTCTAGAAGCCTCTTGAGAGACCTCAAAAGTGTGGTTCTGAACTCAATATCCTCCCTTCCCTGTGTTGATAGAGTGGCTTTCTGTGCTAGGTGTCCTATAGGGCCCAGTGGCTCAGCCTCCCCAATTACCTGAGGGGGACACTCTTGGTGCACCCCTTTGTGGGCTTTGTGTAGAGTCTTGTTGTAGTTAAGTTTTGATTGTTGTTGGTATCACTGGGAGGAATTTTCAGAAGCACCTCTCACATCTTTTAGACTCAATAATTTAAAAATTCTCTAGGCAGTCAAAACATATTCTGATTCCCAGTTATAACAAATAATTTTTCTAACTTGTAATTCAGTTTCCTGTCTCCACTGAAAGGGTACACTAAATTCAATGATATTTTCTTGGACATTTTCCTACATACTACTTCCAAAAATATTCAGGATTTTTTTATAAATACAGTTTCTTTTTGGACTCTACTGTTCAATACTGTATTAATACTGTTCTTATTTATTTTTCCCATCTCTCTGACAATTCTTTGCATGCCTCACTTTGTGGGTTCCCTGTCTTCTTCCCTAAACATTGGTGTTACCAGTACTCTTCAGATTGTCCTAAGTCTGAGACTCACAGATTTCACCAGAACTTTTCTAATGATGCCTAAATTGCTATCTGCCTGTCTGATCTCTTTTCACTTCATGTTCTACATTCTCAAATGCGTAATGAGCATTAACTCTTGAATATGCTGTCACCACATCAAACTCACTATATTTAAATTATTTTGATCATCTCTCTTCCACAATATATTTTTTGTGTTACCTCAATTCTTAATTTCTGTGACTTTCAGTGCCCTTGGCCAAATTTTAGCATTATCCATGAGTTTTTTCTTCTTCTCATCTATCCTGATTACATTCAACCAATTACCAAAACTCCAATGCCTTCACCTCTAAATTATATCTAAAATGTATCCCTAATTACCCACCTATCCATGTTATCAGTACTGATATTTCAATTCAGTGTCACTTCTCTCTATGGAGCATGCTCATGCCTTTCCTCACCCACTTCTCTCCCCAGGCCTCTCTCTTCCTCCCTCCCTCTCTTCCTTTCTCTCTGGCTCCAACTTTTGCCCTAACCTGTTTCCTGAGCCCATTTCTTCTATGGCTCACTTCTACCTCTGTGACTTTCCAAATAAACTTTCTCTTACAGTTTGAGTCTTGGCTATGAATTCTTCTCTCAGCCAGAACTCAAGGACTGAGGCTGCTGAACCGAGGTTAACACCTGGTGTTATTTCCACCATTAACATATGGTGCATGACTCGGATCTCTTTCCTTGCAGTTTTGGGTAAGTTGCCCTCTAAAACACACCTGTGCCTTCCTCCTCCAGGCATGTGCCCTTCCATCCTTTTCGTAAAGCCCTAAGGGTCCCCACAAAATTTGCAACCAGGGGAGCAGTAGCAGGTTCCCCAGGCTAAACCTCCTAAGGCCCCTTCCTTTGCTTCTGTAACTTGCTTCCTGGGTCCATGAAGCTTGCTTTATTCTGGCCTCCTTCTTCTCCCAACCTGCTTTCTCTGGACCCATCGCCAGGGAAGTGGTGAACACTGGCAGTTGGTTAATTGCCTTCTGAGAGCCTGAACTCACTGGGCTGTGAAGATAAAGGGCACTTTAAAAAAAAAAAAGAAATACTATTTGAAAAGGCATATTGAAGATAGAGTACACTGTACTTTCTTCTCACAAACTTTCCCTAGCTCTCCTGACCTGCACAATTAATCATATACCGAAGCCTAAACCCATAGCAAAGTGACTCTATTTTACCACCCCAACTCGATTTCACAGCACTTTCCAATACATGCCCTAAGCTCCGGCCAAACGGAGCCTCGTGTGCTCTTCACGTGACGAGCATTCCCCCTCCGGCTGCCCGTGCTGTGCCTCCTTTGCAGTGTTGTTTCTGGGAGCTCCTCGCTTCTAAATATGACCCACGTTTTGAAGCTCACTGTAACTAAGGACTTTTCTGAATTCTTTCACCAGAACAATTTTCTGTCTGATCTATGCATACTTAGAACTGATGTATAGTTTCTTAAGTGTACTTATTATGAGTTATTTTATATTATAGTTCTCTATAACAAGATGTATCTTCTTCCACAGAGTATCTATAAGCCTCAAACACTTAGTACATGGCATAATTTTTTTAAAACTTGATTGAATACACACGCAAATATGTAATGATGAACACCATCCACCAAGATCTGTGGCCTAATTCCTGTATGCATGTGTGGAAATATCCAGTTTCCCCAGAATAGTTCAGCAGCACGTGTGTACTTGAAGGCTTTCAGCCGTGTTCAGAGCAGTTAAGTTACTTTGGGGAGTATCATATGCAAATGAAATGTTAATGTACACATCAGTATTTACATATCAGGATTTCTCAACCTTGGCATGATTGACATTCTTTGCTGTGGGGGCTTCCCTCTGCACTGTAGGACATTTAGCAGCATCGGTGGCACTGTCAGTAGATGCCTGGCTCACCCCTCCTCAACTGGAGGATCAAAAATGTCTTTCAATGTTGCCCAATGTCCAGTGCGGGTCAAATTCACCCTCATCCTTGTTGAGAAACACAATTTCATAACAGTGGGTGTCCAACCATATATCCACATGTATCAGTTAAAGTAGGTTGTTCTATGCATCACTGACCAAACCTAACCTAATTGCAATAAGCATCTATATTTCATTCATTCGCAGTCCAATAGTCGTATTCCCTTCAGTGCCCCTTTCCTGAGTGACCTTTCTACAAGCAGGGGTTCTGTTGTCGGTTCCTTCCACCATGTGTTTCAACAACCCTAGAGGCCTCTGCTTCCAGCTGCATGGATGTGTGAAAGGGAGAGAGTCGTATGTTGTGAAAGATAAATTCCTGCTAGACCTGGAAATGACTTCCATTTCTTCTGTTCAATGTACTGACCAAAACTAGTCACGTGGTGTCACCTGTATGCAAAGGAGTTTGGGGACTGCAGCCTTCCTGTGCGTCTCTGAGGAACATGAAACAGTTTGACAAACACATAGGAATAACTGAAATTTAATAATAGGGATTTTTGAACAGTACTTGCTACACAATAAAAAATGTATTCAATGTATATTTTTAAAACTTTATGTGTAACTCCCACTTCAGGCCAAGATGTAGTAACACAGCCTGGATTAACCACACATCACCTCTTTCCCACACACCTGAAACCCCAAAGGATAAAAATATAAAGAAAAAAAATATGAAATAGTGGTGTCAAGAAATGATCTCTAACAGAAAACAAGCAGAGAAAGCTTCATTTGAAAGCATAATGTCCATTAACAGGTGAATTGATAGATGACAGTATAGCCACATAATGGAAAATAACTCAGCAACAAAAAGGAATGCACTAACTATTCTTTTATCTTTATTGTTGAAAGTCTTTCATAATTCCCCCCACCGCATTGATCTCTTCCAGCCTACTCCTGCCCCTCACCCCTTCAGGTCTTCACCACCCCATTGTCTGTGTCCACGGGTTATGCAAGGTGAATTGATAGATGACAGTATAGCCACATAATGGAAAATAACTCAGCAACAAAAAGGAATGCACTAACTATTCTTTTATCTTTATTGTTGAAAGTCTTTCATAATTCCCCCCACCGCATTGATCTCTTCCAGCCTACTCCTGCCCCTCACCCCTTCAGGTCTTCACCACCCCATTGTCTGTGTCCACGGGTTATGCATATATGCATACAAGTTCATTGGTTGATCTCTTCCCACCCACCCTCCCCTACCTTCCCTCTGAGGTTCAACAGTCTGTTCATGGTTTTATAACTCTGGGTCTATTTTTGTTCATCAGTTCATTTTGTTCATTAGATTCCACATATGAGTGAGATCATGTGATACTTAGCTTTCTCTGAATGGCTTATTTCACTTAGCATAATACTCTCCAGGTCCATCCATGCTGCTGCAAATGGTAAGAGTTCTTTCTTTTTTATAGCCACATAGTATTCTATTAGGTAATTGTACCACAGTTTTTTTATCTGCTCATCTACTGATGGACACTTAGGCTGTTTCCAAATCTTCGCTATTGTAGATTGCACTGCTATGAACATATATTCTTTCTGATGAGTGTTTCAGAATTCTTAAGATATATTCCTAGAAGTGGGATTACTGGGTGAGATAGGAATTCCATTTTTTTTTATTTTTTGAGGAAATGCCATACTGTTTTCCATAGTGGCTGGACAAGTCTGCATTCCCACAAGCAGTGTACTAGGGATCCTTTTTCTCCATGATCTAGCTAACAATTGTCATTTGTTGATTCTAGCCATTCTGACAGGTGTGAGGTGATATCTCATTGTTGCTTTGATTTGCATCTCTCAGATGATTAGTGACTTTGAGCACTTTTTCATATGTCTCTTAGCTTTCTGTATGTCGACTTTGGAGAAGTGTCTATTTTGGTCCTTTGCCATTTTTTAATTGGATTATTTGTCTTCCTTTTGTTAAGTTGTATGAGTTTCCTATATATTTTGGAGACTACCCCTTATCAGATGTATCATTGGCAAATATGTTCTCCCATGTAGTGGGCTCTCTTGTTATTTTATTGATGGTTATTTTGCAGTGCAGAAGCTTTTTATTTTTATTTTTTAAATATATTTTATTGATTTTTTTTACAGAGAGGAAGGGAGAGGGATATAGAGTTAGAAACATCGATGAGAGAGAAACATCGATCAGCTGCCTCCTGCACACTCCCTACTGGAGATGTGCCTGCAACCAAGGTACATGCCCTTGACCGGAATCGAACCTGGGACCCTTGTGTCTGCATGCTGACGCTCTATCTACTGAGCCAAACCGGTTAGGGCAGAAGCTTTTTATTTTAATGTAGTCTCATTTGTTTATTTTCTTAGTTTCCATTGTATGGGTAAACATATTATACCAGAGATGTCTGAGATTTTGGTGCCTATAGTTTTTTTCTAGGACTTTTATGGTTTCCCATCTTACATTTAAGTCCTTTGTCCATTCGTAGTTTGTTCTTCTTGTGTATGGTGTAAGTTGGTGGTCTAGTTTCATTATTTTTTTGCATGTACCTGTCTAATTTTCCCAACATCATTTATTGACAAGACTGTCTCTGCTCTATTGTATGCTCTTGCCTCCTTTGTCAAATATTAATTGAGCATAGTGGCTTGGGTCGATTTCTGGGGTCTCTGTTCTGTTCCATTGATCTATATGCCTGTTCTTGTGCCAGTGCCAAGTGAACTAACTATTGATAAACCCAACAATCTCACAATAATAATGCTGAGTTAAAAATCCCTCGACAAAATAGAACACTTACCACATGATTCCATTTACTGAAACCCTGGAATATGCAGACCAATCTTCAGTGAGATAAAGTCCCTTCATGGTTTCCTGGAAGATGGGGAGGGAAGTGGTGAGAGGAATAAATTGTAAAGGGGCACAAGGAAAGTATTGATGGTGATGTAAATGCTCAGAATCTTGATTGTGGCATTTATTTTATGGATGTAAACATATATCAATACTTTACCTAAACTGTTAAAGTTTATTTCATTTTAATTAATGTAAATTTAAGGTAATTTAATCTTAATGTGCTTTTGTCTGTTCAATGTCTCCAGAACACTCTCTCCAAGGCCAAAATCACTGCACACAGACAAAGCATGAGACCCTATTCAGGCCCTCCTTCCTCACATTACATGGCCCTGCTTTCTTTCTCAGTAGGAACTGATATTCACAGGGAGAAGTGGCAGAAAATAAATAATAAAACTTTAGGCAAGAAAAGAGGAATTCAAATGAAATCATCTGAATTCAGGCTTCTTGCAAAGAACCAACATGCCTGTTCTTTGCTTCAAACCTTCTGGAATTTCATCAGGGCTACAATTTGCTCAAGACCCTAAGGTCAAATAAATGATTTGTATGTTTAGAGGATGTAGGATCTGCTTTAGCCCGAGCCCTTGGAAATGGATTGGTGGTCTGACCTTCAGACAATGGTGCTGAGATGCTTCTCTGCTAAGTTTCAGAGGTTCAGCAACACTTTACACCTTGTGTAAGTCACCAGCTTCCAAAGGTCCTGGGCCTTATTCAACCGAAGCCTCATTTCTACTTTCTCAGATCCTAAGGGAGATTTTCATCAAAAGCAGATTCCGTGCTAAGCCAGAGACACCTGTCAATGAAAAAAGTTAATTTTTCAAACCCTTTGCACCATTGGCTTCTGAAGGGGGAAATCATTGATCTGTCTGTGTGCAGTGGGAAGGAGGATTTTTTTTTTTTTTTAGAAAAAGAGCAATAGATGGCTTGCGTGTGAAAATCAATGCAGTTGAGAGGAAAAATGGACTAACGGAGGTTGCAGATGTTCCACAAAGGAGAGAGAAATGACAATTGAGTTTCAGTGAAATACAAATATGGTGAGAAAATGAAATCACTGTTCGTGCAGTTTAATTTCTAAGAAGAAGGTCTTGAGGGAAAAGACCCTGCAATTTTAATTCTAATCCTGAAACAGAGAAATATTCTAAGATTAAAAAAAAACTTTCAACTTTAAATAAATGAAAGAACAATTTTTTTTACTTACATGAGATAAAACAGTTTTATCCTCCACAGTCTGTCCTATTTTCATGCATAGTGACTTGATAGATTCTAATGATTTTTTTTTCAATTGGCAAAATGATAATTAATATCCCCCAATGAATGGTAATACAATAGCCTTTTATTCCACTTTGAATTCTCTGAGAGTTTAGCATTAAACTTGATGTATTTTCTTATAAGTACTGAGAATAGAGACAGGATTCAAAATTATTTCATCTATAGCAGAAAATACATCGTAGCATCACATTTTTTATAACTACAGTCAACACAACCATCAGTGTATCAAGAAAGAAACATTTATGGAAATCTCTACCACATGGAAAATAGTTTTAAACTCATAAGTATGATTTAGGGCAACAATGAAATTTTCAGAGGTAGAAAAACTTGATTTCAAGACCTATCTCCATCTCTCATAAAATCCAGATAGCAGAGTGTTACACATATTTGCTGAGATCCTAATGTCACAAACATTAAATGCCAAAGTGACTTGTGAAGCAGACCCAACACAAGTGACCCTGCAAGCCCCCATAGCCATTGAGAGTCTGAGAAGGTCAGGAAGACAGACTGGTGAGTTAGGAGGAGTGGGTTTGCCTGGATGAGCCTTTACTGTGAGTCCCAGGCCACACAGTTGGACATTTGTGAGGCACAGGTCTCTCCACTCAAACCTGTGAGGCAATCCTCAAAAAGAGATTCATCAGTGAGTTTAGTAAGTTAGACATCTACTCTGCAGTTGAGAGATAAGAGTGGCCTGGCTGGCATGGCTCAGTGATTGAGTGTCAACCTATGAACCCAGGAAGTCATGGTTTGATTCCCGGTCAGGGCACATGCCTGGATTGTGGGCTAAATCTGCAGGGGGGCGGGGGGAGCATGCAAGAGGCAGCCCATCAGATTCTCTCTCATAATTGATGTTTCTATCTCTCTCTCTCTCTCCCTCTCCCTTCCTATCTGAATTCAATAAAAATATTTTTTTTAAAAAAACAGCCTGCACAAACCAAATTTAGGATGTACCCAAAAGGGCTGCTTAGGGCAATGGGACCCCATTAGTGGGAAGAAGTAGAGGTAAGCCACTGAATTCTCTGTCTCCGCAGAAGTCTTTGCAAGCCATCTGTAAAACTGCAGACAATACTATGCTGCCTTAAATAGAACTCTTCGGGAGACATCACCAGCAACTGGGAGGGGAGAAGAAGATGTCCAAGGACCCACATGCCAATCTCAAAAACACCCAAATGAGGATGAATCGGCTTTAAAGATCAGCCAGACACAAGGAATACAAAATGAATAGCAGTTCCCCCTGCTCTCCGAAAGTAGCACATGCCTATGAAACTTTGCCTATGTCAAAACGGTATAAAACAAAGAAGCAACTACCACTAATTTATATGCTTTTATTTTGTTCTGGACCTAAATGCTTAGCTGCATCGAGTAACACTTTTAATGTTAGACTAACAGTCACACCTTGAGGAGCTCTCAGGCTTTTCTGATACCTTAGGACACATCTTGGTACCCATATAGACAAAATCAATGGAGGCAAAGCCCAGATGCTGGCAGACACAGTTCAGAGTTCTGTGGTCTTGATGCTGAGATGAGGAGTGTGGGTCCCAGGGAAGAAGGTTGGCCTGGCCACTCTCGCTACTGGGCCTATGCCTGGCCTTGTGGGAAACAGATGCTGAATGCCTTTTTTGTAAAAGTGAAAATCTTCTTTGGATATTTTTGGGTTAGTGAAAGCGGATACTAATGTAGGCCTTTTCTAAACACAAAGTGATGTAACACAAATTTTCAGAAAGTAGGGAGTACCTGCAGTTCAGTAACTGGTAGGGGAGGATTGGAGCTAAAATAGGGAAGGCGGACTGTCCTTCTATGGATGCTCATCCCCACCTGTCAGAGGCCCTGCCAGGGGAGGGGCGTGCTAATAATGATATGGAATAGGACATTTTAATTTGTAATCTGAAATTCTGTTTTATGACTTAAAGTGACCCTAGTATCTCATAGTCCCGAAAGTAATGAAAAAACTCAGGAGCTGCCTGAATGCTCATCTACTGGTGTAGGGTAACAGCCGCCCCATTGAGCTCTTTAAATGGGAGTGGGCAGCAAAAATTACTTTATTTTCTGTTCACATCCCACTGGTAAAAATTGTTTAAGATAAATGCTACCTGGACAATTTTAGGCAATTCATTCATCTACATTAAACTTCTCTTTCCTTACTATTATGGCAGATTACATAAGATAATATGTGTAACCGACTGAACATGATAAAAACAAATTCATCTACCATGCTTCTGATACTGTTCTCCAGCCCTTTCTTACCGTTGCTAGCTTCCTCCGTGGCTCCTTCCCTTCTGCTTTCTTCTGCTTGATGCTGAGATGAGGAGTGTGGGTCCCAGGGAAGAAGGTTGGCCTGGCCACTCTTGCTGCTTTTTCCTTTGTTCAATTATTTTTTTCTTCGAGTCAGTAGAATTGCTGTCAGAAAACTCTTGCAGTTTTGTTTGTGTAATAGAACAGAAAAACTTTTAGGCCTACGTCAGAAAAATTTCTTGTTAAAAGTTCAGAAACAACTATCAGGGAGACACAAACAATTTATTGCAGATAAAAGAATTCGAAAAGTAAAAGAATACTGGGTACATTCTGACAGGGTCAATCAGATATTCACATGTAGATAACAACAGTGGAAGTTTCTAATGAAGACCCTGAATTACTGAAATAAAAATAAACTATGTTCACCAGATTAATGAATAAGCAACTAAGAAATCTAGAATAGCTTGTAATAAGTGATCACATTAACAGATAATTGGTGGATGTGGAATTCAATAAAATTTCATTATCTATCAATGACAAATAACTAAATTAACGATTGAAGAATTACTTAAAATTAGTAGTTTTAACTAATGTAAACAGTAGATTTAATAATGCAACTCTCATCAGACCCAACAATAAGAGAAATATGTCCATTATTTTTATTATTGTTTACTATTGACATAGAAATGATAGTCATTGAAATAAAATATGAAAAATAAATCATTTGTATAATTTTTTTGAAAAAGACAAAAAAAATTTTAGTTAGAAATAATGCAAAACTGTAATCTTAAGAATTATTATGATTAATATTCTATCTCAGCAAAGTGAATTATTTAAGGTAAATATACAAATGTTAATAATTTTGTATCTATAGAAATAACTAATTTGAAGATAGAACAAACATTTCCCATGATTATTTTTAAATTAGAATACCATAACTTTAATTTAAACTAGTTAACAAGGTAATTATATGGAGGAAATATTAATTACATATACATATCAAGAACCATGCTTCTTGAGCAAGAGAATATGTAATTACGATGAATTGTCATAAGTCCACTTATACTTTTAAACTAATCTCAATCAAATTTTAAAAACTTCATATTTATATGAAAGATTAAAGGTTAAGACAAACAGTTAAATAATATTTTTAAACAAAATTGATGTAATGGGGCTTGAGGACTCACTTGCAACTTTAAGTGATATCAAAACATGCTACAAAGCTATAATAATTTTTAGCACAGTAAAATGATGACACAATAAAGAAACAGGGCCATGAACTAAAATAGGAATCTAAAAAGAAAGAATATACCAAATCTATAATAAAAGCGTAACATGCTAATTAGACTGAACGTCCTTCAGGGCGACTTTCTGGATGAAGCAGGGCTGCGAGGGAAGCCCGGATCCCAGGTGCCAGTGGGAAGCCAGTGCCGGCAGCCGGGGGAAGGGAGGCCTGCTCTTGCATGAATTTTGTGCATCAGGCCTCTAGTGTAATTATATTATATTACACTAGTATTATTATTAGTTTAATCATTATATTTATTATATTAGTGTATATTAGTTTATATTAGTGTAATAATTATATTACACTAGAGGCCCGGTGCACAAAAATTTGTGCACTCGGGTGGGTCCCTCAGCCTGACCTGTGCCCTCTCGCAGTCTGGGGTCCCTCGGGGGCCCCTTCCCCTGGCTGCTGGCACCAGTTTTCCTCCGGCGCCCGGAACCCAGGCCTTCTCTCTTCATCTGGAGGGGCTGGCGCGGCGGGCGAGGAGCTTAGCTTTTTTTTTTTTTTTTTTTCCGGGGGGGGGAGGGGGG